TTTGCTGTCCTACTGCCCTTATATAAATTTATGGTGCAACCACATCTGGAATGTACAGCTTTGGTCACCATGCCTGGAAAAGGATATTGCAGCACTGGAAAAGATGCTAAAAAGGGCAACCCAGATTGTCAAGAGTCTGGAAAGCAATTGCCCTAGGAGGAAATATTCCAATTGATTGGGGCTCTTTAGCTTGGGGTGGAGTAACATTTATAAAACTATGCATGGTGTGATTTAAACAGATTGGAAAGACTTTTCTTTCTTAGCTGTAATAACTGGAGCCTGACAAGGTCATGTGCTAAACCTGTAATGTGACAAATGTATGGTGCATAAAAGGACAGGGTTTATCACACAGCCAGAGTCAGACTGTGGAGCCCATGACCACAAGGTGCAGAGGTGGCTGGCGACACCTGTTGATTTAGAAGGCGACTGGTCCAAATCATGGAGGTAAGAGCCATCTGTGGCTACTAGTCAAGACTATGCGTCACCTCCACTATCAGAAGTAAAGTTCCTCTGTATCTCAGTCCTGGGAGAATGCAAGATGGAGAGTACAGTTCAAACCATGTCCTCCTAGTTGTCTTGCTATAGGCGACTAGTTGGACACTGTAGCAACAGAAGACTAGATAAGCCTCTGGCCTGACTCAGTGAGGTTCTTTTTGAGTTCTTATCTCCCCCCTTCAAGCATCCCTTCTCTTTCCATCCTCTGACCAGGAAAGTGACCACCTTGCTGTGTCCTTCCACAAAGCAAAGACGCATTGTAACATACTGCTGCAGGCGTCTGATCACAAAAACAAACTTAGGTGGGTGAAAGGATGTGTCTTTGTGTGCAAGTGTGTCAGGGTGAGAAAGCAAGGATCCATTAACTTCCTCCAGAGAGTTCCCGGAGGGCTTGCAAAAGACACCGAAAGAATATGTGGATATCGCTTGAAAGCTGGCAAGCTGCCACAGAGTCAACCCAGCCACCGCCGCCCCGTGGCTTGCCGCAGTCCGGACCCATCCATCACCAGCCAACGACACCCTCTTCACAACTTTTTCCGAGCCGGATATTCCGATTCCTGCTGATTACACACCAGTGGGCCCAAGGGGGGGATTCGGTATCTCCCACTTCCAGGAAGGGAGGGGACCACAAGGAAGAGGCATTGATAGCCACCTCCATCCAGAAACCCCCATCAGCTCCATTCACGCTGGGAGGCAGCTATTGTTCCTGCTGGAACCGTCCACAGAGCTGGAGAAAGTATTTCCTCAGTTATAAATCTCCCGGGTTCTTTATCTTGGCACCAGGTCCTCCTTGTCTTGTTTTCAAAGAAACTGTCTTTTAGTGTATTTGTATGTTAGAAGACTCTGTTTTTGAAACAGCGCACAAACAAAACATTTTGGTGTATGAATTAAAATCTTTTACCTGTCAATTCCTCTCCTCTTCTCCAAGGCCCCTCAAATTCATTAACTGCTGTTACGAAGCCAGGGCATGGCATGTTCAAGAAAGCACTTCTTCAGCGGGAAAGTGTCAGCAAGGGAATGTTGACAGCCAGCGCCATTTCTGCAAGAGAAATGCAAGGTTAGTTTGCAACAAAGCCTCCATCAGGACTTATGGCCAGGAAACCGATGGCCAACTGCAGAGCATTAGAAACATTGGCGGTGGCACTAATGTGTTGACATTGCATCATGGAGGGCATCTAATCGCTTAAATGATTCATGGAGCAATTTATTAAAGCAATAAACTTTAAAATGTCACTTCAAATGGCAGAAAATTGATCCAGAACAAGTTATTTGGATAGGAAGAAAAACCATTGAATCAGGGCCGCTTCCCATTTTAATGATTAAAACAGTGAAGTTCAAAAGGTGTAGCTGGGCAACTTAATGAGTTTAATTTAATTAAACAATTAACTTTTTAATGAATTACCCCTATCACCAGGGAGTAGGATTCAGTGATTCAGATACAAAGGGCAGCCAGGGAGAAAAGACATCCAGCCCTGGTGTAGTGGCTTGAGTATGGGAATTGTTGCTTTCAGCTATGGAAACCCACTGGATGGCCTTAGGCAAGCCATAGTCTCTCAGCCTTAAAGGGAGGCAATGGCAAACCCTCTCTGAACAAATCCATTACCATAAGCCATTGTTCCCCCAAACTGAGAAGGGCATGGCCATGTGGTGCAACACACCTGGAAAAGGTGTAAAAAATGGCTCCCATCCCTTGTGTCCATCCAAGGTCTAAAGTGCTTGTGTGGGATCTAGGCAGCAACGCAAAAGGTTGTGTGTCTCCTGTCACTTGACAGGGCTGGCATACTTTTGATACTACTAAACCATGGTGCCGCTGCCAAAGAAAAGATTAGCCGGGCAGACTGAATGGGCTCCCACAAGAGGGAAAATGGATGACCTGCCCGCCGGCCAACTATTCTATATACACTGGAGTCAAACCGATCTATGTGTGCATGAATAATTGATCCAATTTCCCCCGATAAATTACAAGCAATCTGATTTTCATCACCGCCGTCATTAGCAGCCTCAGAGTCGGCCAACCATTTCTCTCCCCCCAACCCCATTCTTTTCCCCCACTCTACCATATATATGGTTTAAAAATGACTCCGTTCCCCGTTGCTTTGGAAACCCTTTGCAAAAGGGGCCTTCTCCAGCCTCCCACCCGTCCAGCCGTCCCCTCTTCGCCAAGTAACCAGCACCAGATGCGGCTTTGACCTTTGCAACTTCCTGGAAACATACATTTGTCAAAATAAAAATAAAAGAGATTAATGTGAGGAAAAGGCTTTTTAAACTACAAGGAAATCACACTCCCGGGCCCAGACATGCAACCCAACCATTTCCAAATTTGCCATGGGGGCCATCAGTCCCTCCTTGGCAAAAAGAGAAAGGGAAGGTCTAATCGAGCCACAGGACTCTTCTGGGATGGGACTTATTTCCATCCTCCAATGTCTTGTAGGGGCATGAGAAACCCAACCTGATGGATGAGGAGCATCTCTGGAGACCTCCAAGGCCAGGGTGACCCAAGGTCCTCACTGCAAAGGAGGAAAAGACACTGCAAAATGTAAGACATTCAGAAAAATGGAGGAGATGTCCAAACAGAAGCTAAAAACACCCTTAGAAATATAAATGTTTCTTAGCTGTATTCAAAAGGGAGACCACTTTGGAATGCCTCCAGAAGGCTGAAATGTAGGGTGTGTCCTGGAAAAGGAGGACATATGGTTACCCTGTCCTCCAAGGCTAGGAGCTGCTTAAAGACATTCCCCAACTAAATTGCTAGGATTTTTCTAGCCAACTTTCCTTCGTAGAATCCGTTTGCAGCATGATTGGTTCTCCACTTCCTTCTCCCATATGAACCTGCCCATATTATGAGATCTTCTGGGGAGACCCTTTGCTATATGTCTCCATATATATATTTTCTGGGAACAGGGCCTTCTTGGTAGCTGCTTCCAGGCTCTAGAATTGCCTTTCCAGAGAGGCTAGACTGTTTTTCTGCAAGCAGGTAAAAAACTTTCTTTTATTCCAGCAGGCTTTTGAGCATTGATTTTTCAATTCTGTATAATGCACTGGACTTTTATCTGTTGTTTTCATTTGTTTTTAACTGGTTTCAGTTAATGGAATTGGATTAAGTTACTGATTATGATGGTTTGATTGCTTTTTAAATGTTGTATGCTGTCTTCATATGTGTGTATTTGTGTTGCGTGCCTTCATGTCTTTCCAAGGTGAACCTATCATGGGGTTTTTTTTGGCAAGTTTCTTCAGAAGGGATATATACACACAATTTGTCGGCTGGACAACTGACCCCTTTGCCAATGAGAGGGACAGTCAAGTTTCAAAACCTGTTTGCTTTTGTGCCAAAATTGGGGTCCCTCATGACCAAATGTGGTTCCTGAGCACAATTACGAATCAACGGTGGGCTTCCCCCCTGCTTCTATTTCAATTTTAAATTAGAGAGTTGAAAGGTGCACATAAAGGCCAGCTAGCCAAACTACCTGCCATGCAGGAATTCACTCCTAAAGCGCCTCTGAGAGGTGGTCACCTAACCTTTGTTGAAAAAAACACCACCTCCTCTCCACCATCTTCCCAGGTAGTCTATTCTAATGATTAACAGTTCTTACCATCAAGTAATACCAGGTGCTGTAGTCTATATTTTAGAGGAAGGACTTGGCAAAACCACCTCAGAGTATTCCTGGACTAAGAAAACCCTGCAAAATTCATGGGGTTGCCATAAGTCAACAGGCAGGCACATACACACACACCATCGGGAGGTTCTTCCTAACATTCCAGCAAGAAACTCTTGTAATTTGAATCCATGGCTTTGGGTCCTACCTTCTCCAACAAGCTTGCTCCATCGTCTGACTGCCAGTCCTTCAACGGTACAAAATAAATCATGAATACAAAACATGTAATATCAACACATGAAAAAGGACCAGAGTGAACTCCCACAGCTAAGAGCATTCCTGAGAAACCAAGGAGATTAGGCAAGTCTGACGTTAAATGGATCTTTCCAAAATCCTGAAGTCTGCAAAGGAGTTCACACCAATTGTTCACTACTGACGTGGGAAATGGACCGAGACCATACTGCACTGAAAGGGTCTGTTGGGTTTAATCTTGATGAACTTTTGTTTGTTTTTTGCTAGAGCATACAAAACCCACCTTTGCAGGGTTAAAAGCAATTAAACCATCATAAGAGTGAAACCAGTTAAAACAAATGAAAACAAAAATCTTCGAAAGTCCATATTCTATTTACTCAGCCATCGATAAGAGCCTTGATAAGATTTGTTTAGAAGGGGTTTGCCACTGGCTTCCTTTGCAGCTGAGAGTATGTGATTGGTCCAAGGTCACCCATTGGCTGAGCAGGGATTCGAACTCTGGTCTCCTGGAATCCTAATCCAACGCAACACCATGATGGCACTCAACCACAAGCCTGTAACGTACTTGTTATGTGCCTTCAAGCAGGCTCTGGTTTCGGCTCTCCCAAGGTTTTCCTGTCAAGATTTCTTCTCAGAAGCTTTACCTCTGCCTTCCCCTTAGGCTGAGAGTGTGTGTCTTTCCCAGGGTCATCCAGTGGGTTTCCAGGGCCAAGCGGAGATCCAAACCCTGGTCTCCTGGAGTCCTAATCCAACACTCAAATCATTGTGCCTCTGTCCAGGGTAGCAGACTGAAACAGTGAGTGCCTCTGAGCAAATGCAGAGTACCTTTGCTCCTTTCCCCAAAGGCTTTCTGCTTGCCCAGAATCAGGAGTTGCAGGCCACTGGCCAACACACAGTCCTGGCTGCTCTCTGTCTAGACATTTACAATATCTCTGAACCACAGTGAGCTTTTGGACATAGATTCTGGAGTTCTGGACAAGAAAAGCCAAACATGCATTGATAGGAAATGTTTGATTTAGATAGGGAACAATGGGAAAGTGAGACCAATGATGGTAAACAACCCCCCCCACACACACTATCCAGTAATTTTTAGGCAAATTTTATACAATGCTAAAAATGCAGACAAATTTATTTTAAATAATAGTGATAAAAGTCCTGCAGATTGCAGCTCTTGCTTTTAGCAAATGAAAACAGCAAATTATGTCAAAGGAGCCGGCAAAGAGTCGACTAGGATGGCCCTGTGATTAAGTGGAAGGATATGTAAATGCATGTGGCAGTTGCCATAGTGACTACAAGAATTACTCCTGCCATTGTGCAGCGCTTCCCCACCGACACCTCCAGTTTTGTTGGACTGCAACTCCTATCAGTCCCCGCCAGCCATCATATGGCCCAGGGGGAGGAATGCTGAGAGCTGCAATCCAACAACATCTAGAGGGACACAGAATGCCCATCTTATTTAGGCAGGCCTTTGGCTTCTATGATTCACGTGGCCAAAAGGGTTTTTATTTTAATGGGGTTGCACTCCCCTCCTTTTCATTATTGTTTTAATCATGTTTCAACCTTGTGTTTTTAAATGCACAGCCTCACAGCCCTGACCTCCATATCCTGGAGCAATAGCAAAGTTTGCCTACCTCTGTGAAACCCACTATCTATGCCTGGGGTAGCCTTAAACACAAAGAACTGTTGTTTAATTGTTTCAACTTCTGTCCATTTGTCTGTCGTTTTCATTCGTTGTAAGCCACCTAGAGTCCCAAGCCAGGAGAAAGGTAGGGTATAAATGAAATAAATGAATACATTTAGCCCTGTGGTGCGGTCAAGCACAGTTCCTTTGTCTGTTCGGCTATCATGCTCCCCTCCACCATCCAGCCAGAGGGTCCCTGAGGACATGGCCAGGTGTGGTCTGCTCCAGTGTTTGTCTGCCCGGACACTGCTGAGAGGCAGCACCCTGACCCGGGCATGCATACCCTTGCCAAGGCCTTGCGTTGGAGCCCGGGTGCGGCTCGGAGGGCTCGTGGCTGGCCCACCCTCTTGGCTAAACACAGGAAGGGAAGGGTCAGCGAAGGCCGGTCCAGACTCAAGCCTCAGGAAGCTGGCATTTGGCAAAGGAAAGAAATGCGACACGCAGAAAGAAAAGCACACCACAGCAGCAACAGCCAAAATCTTCAGAGTCCTCTCACTGTCGGCATTGCTTTTACAGTCTGCACTCATGTTCACAGTCTTTGGGAGTTCTGGTTCTGCAGCCGCAGGATCTCCCTATATTTGGGATTCATCCTAGTCCAGTTTAAGGATGTATGAAGACCGTGACCTCCATGGCACGAACAAGGCTCAGGGCTGCTTACCATGATGTCTTTTTCACAAGTGACCCTTGGATTTCTTTTTGGTTTTCAGGGATTGTCCCTTTTTAAATATTTTGAACCAACACTGGTGGTTTCTGTTGTTGGCCATATGTTGCTTTTCTATAGCTCTCCTACTTTGTTTTAGAAATGGAAATTGTTGCAGGGTGGACAGATATGTTGTGACTTTTATGACTTCCAAAAGCTCATCGGCCATTTCTAAAGATGAAGATGCCACTCACAGATGCAGGCAAAACGTCAGGAATACATTCTTCTAGAACATGGTCTCACAGTCCGAAAAACCCACAAAAACCTATGGATGCCGGCTATGAAAGCCTTCAACTTCACATTTCTAAGGCAACTTGTAAACCTTGTTAAAGACACAAACAAAATAATAAAGCTTTGGCACAAACAGGCGCAAACATTTTTGAATATTCAGAGTTGAACCTAAGTTTCTGAAAGAGCATCTCTCCCTAGATAAGTCTGACTAAGTTTTAAGATCTTTGTGGGAAGGCTTTCACTTGGTCTCACCACCTTTAAATATCTGGATGTAATGTTAGAAGATGAAGCAAGCTTATTTTTTGTTCTTCTGAGACTAGAACACAAACTAACAGATTCAAATTACAAGAAGAGATTCCAGATTGCCTTGGAGTGGGGTGGATTCTCCTTTTTGGAGAGCTTTAAACAAGAGCTTGGAAGGGGATCTTTCAAGAGTGATTTTTAGCAGTGAACCTCTGCATGGCACTAGCCTTTTCAACTCTTATGATTCTGAGTTCTCAGTCCTCTAAGCTTTGTCAAAGACTGTGTTGTGCACTAGATTAACAACCAAAAGGCCAACTGGAACTACGTTCTGAGTATGCCCTAGTGTTTGTAAGGGATAGAGAGTTCACTGCAGGCACTCCCTCTTTAGCCCTGGAAAAACTCTTTTTGGAAACTTTTTCAAAACATATAATGACATTATAAGCCTACTGTTTTCTCCAAGGGATGTTGACCTTGCGGAGGCAGCCTTCAACTTTCCACACGCTGGCAGAGTGAAGGGATGGGGAGGGGAGAAACAGCAGAAACCACAGCGGTGCTTGGCTTAATTTGTTAATTCCGATCAGTTCTGCGAGACGGCGAGAGATGTGGGTGGCTGCCTAATTGTGCAGCCAGGACTGGTATTCTGAGGAACAGATTTTTAAAATGAATGAATGAATGAATGAATAAATAAATAAATAAATAAATAAATAAAGGATTGGAAACCTGTCGCGTTGTTTCCTCCCTCTCACTATTGTCCCACTACCCACTTCACCAAACTGCAAAGGAACCTCCTTGTTCATCCCACCAAACATCACCTCTCTTGTTATAAAACATACTTCCTCACTGCACCAAAGTGTGGCCCACTAATTCTAAACAATCAAGAGCATCTCTGAGCCCAGGACATCAAAAGAACATGGCAATTCTCTCTTGCAGGTATAAGGAAAGGGTTCGTCACACATGGCAGCAATTTTGCGGCCCTCTGTGTATCTTGGCTCTGCTTAAAAACAAAACTGTCAAGAGAGGAGGAAAGCGGCAGCTGGATCTCTTGAGTAAATTGCTTGCAGTTCATTGGCCCTCTTCTGGCTGGGTAGGCATTGAAGTAAGGGTCTTAGAGTCAACCCAGGCCTCATGGCTCATCCAAAATCCTATGGATTTCATAAGACAGCATTTCTCAGCTTTTGTATATTAGGTCCAACTTGTCACTCTGTGAAAGAACCTGGGTCCCACCATCACATGAAACAAAGACTCACTTTTTCTGAGGGGAATTGACACATGCAGATTTCTTCAGTGTTATATTTGTCATTTGTAATTAAATATGTAATGCAACAGTACTCCTCAGAGCAAATGCAATTGAGCAAACATAACAATTCCGTTAACAGTTATGGAAATCTTGCTCCTCACCTCAACTACTTTTGTGTCTCACTGGTGGTACAGCCTAGAAATAAGTTGGAGCAGAAGAATTAATACCAAAAAAAAAAAAAAATGGACCTGCATTGTTATGGACAGACAGGCTGAGAACAGACTAAGGGGAAGCATGACTTCTGAACCATTCTTCTCCAGGGAATTTCCAGTCATTGTTCCAATCAAAGGAAGACAGAACTGCAAATTGTGGGCTGAAGATAAATTTGAGGAAATAGGTTCCGTGAAAGGGTGCTGGATACCTTCTTATGCAAGTGTCTAAACAGGAGTTAGAGTGCTGCAAGAGGATTCCTCCATACATTGATACAAAAACGAACATTAAATGCACTGAATTTGACTTTTAAGAACATACTAATTATTGATATTGAACAAAACTGTAATTAAAATTACTTACAATATTAACTCTACAGTATTTAGTTCTTTTTCTTGGCTGCAGTGCAATGTGCAGTCTTCTGCCAAATTCAATGGCAACCCACAACAACAATATAAAAGAAAATCCGGGGAGAACTAGGGCACCACAAAATAAGAACTTGGGGCCATATGTGACCCATGGGACACACTTTGCCCACTCTTGGATTAGACAGCCTTTGAGGGATCTTCCAACTCTCTGCTTGAGAGCAGATGCTGCATGGCCATAAATTTGTGTTTTTTAAAAAGAAAGAAGAAAAGGTATTATGTTGCCCAGAGTGCCAAATCAGTGAATGTGTGTTCTGTAAGAATTTTAACACTGCTTTCAATTCTAAAAGCAGACAAAGGGCAGGAAAATAGCCAGAATATAAGATGTCCAACTAAAACATGTTTAAAAATATCTGTGGCCAGAACCTGCACCCCTCCCCATAAAAAACAGATGGGGAGTGATTTAAGGGGGGGTGCTTTTAGGCAAAGCTGTTTTCTTGCACTTTGGGTGCCGTTTCCTGAAGGCATCCACAAGAATGTGCCCAGCCTCAGCATGGACACCCAGTCTGTGGAACACGGTAGCGCTAGCCCTACCCAAAGCTCTTCCGACATAACCCATTAGCTTCAGGCATGCCGTGATGAGCTCTGGCAAAGGTTATGGCCTACACCCGAGCGCAAGCAATGTTTTTCCACAATGCAGGTAATAAGGAGTGGGGCGGTGGGAGGACAGAGAGACCCCCATGACAAATTTAACTGGGTCTGCTCTCTATCTGCCAAGGAACTGTCTTGGTAAATTCCTCCAAGATGGCTTTGAATTCTTAACTCAAGCCTTGACGTTTGATTGCTCTAAGGTTTCCAAGAAACCATTAGGGTTCTGGGGG